CAGGACAGCATGGGATGGAGAAGACAAGGGAGAGTGGCGGGCACCCCCCGCAGAGCCTCCGGCTCCACAGTCAGTCGCAGAGGGTGTTGAATAAGAGGGTGAGTGTGGGCCCAGCCGAGGTTAAGGCAGCACCAACCTCAGCAGCCTCTCCGTGGGGTCAGTGGAGAGCAGAGGTCCCAGGTACCTTCCAGAGTGAGAGAGAAGGAGTTCACTGGGGCTGAGGCGGCCAAGTAAGAACTGGGGGGATCCTTGTGGTTTCCAAGGTGAAAAGAAACTTGCAGAGTCATGACTAGAGCGTGGGACATGGTCTGGTTGGCTTTGAGCAGATGGAGCTAAAGCCACTTCCTCTGAGAAAGTGCGAGGCAGGAGCTGGGATGCGAAGGCCCCCCAGGCAGGACCGAAACCCACCGGAGCTGCAGGGCTTGGAAAGGCTTGGGCTGCGATATTCCAGGTGGCCACAGGATGGCAGTAGCACGCTATAAGTGTCTGGCTCTGGAGCCCTGCCGTGTTAACGTTTCAAATCTCATTTTTAAAAGTATAAGTGTAGAACATCTATGCGGAGTAAATAAAGTGAGTCTGTACCTAGGATAGTTTGCTTGTCCTGGATCAGGGCCGGGGACTCAACTGAACTTGACCTGAGGTGTCGGGCTGTGCAGAGCCAGGCGGGGCCCCTCCTGGGGGGCAGCCTTGTAACTCTGAGACCCTCTGGACATGTCTCACCGTACAAAGCATCTGTGTTTATGAAAAAGAATCTTGCGTAAATTCCATAATTTTAAAGATTCTTGGATCAGTCACTGTTTAAAGGAACAGTATAAAGTGTTGGAAAGGGGTGCTCTGTGGTGCTCAGTCATGTCCGACTCTCCGACCCTCTGGACTGTAGCCCACCAGGCTCCTCTGTCTATGGAATTAACTCCCCTAATGTTTGATCTCCAGTGTCAGTTCCCAAGCTGACCACTTTGGACTTGAAGGGAAGGCTTGCTGTGGGTGTCCAGTGCTCACCCCAGGTTAGATTCCCTCCAGAACATCCCAGCCCCCAGTCCTCCACACTGGGCCTGTTGACCCTAGTGAGGCCAAGCCGGGCCCAGCATAAGACAGTGCAGGAGACAGGCCTCTCCAGGGGTGGCCCAAGGACACCTGGCCAGCCTGGAAGCCTGAGGGTGGAGGGGAGGGCTGGGCCATCTGGAGCACCTCGAGAAATCTGAGCCCAAACAGAACCAGAACAAGATCTGATGTGGGTTTGGAACCATTTCGGGTTCTCCAAGAAATGGAGTAAACCAAAATGGACCTGCTTGCAGCCTCATGCCACCCCAGCCTCTCCTCCAGGGTCAAACCCTGACCACAGAATTTGTCCCTTGACTAGTAAGTCTCCTGGATCAAAATCTGGAGCTTCCAAAACATTGCTTTTCCTTTTGACTATTTGCAGTGTCCACCCAGAGCTGAGGCTGAATATCACACATTTACTCTAGTTGAGAAATTAAGTTTCAGGATTCCAATTTCATAATGACAACCATTCCCCTTTTTATTTTTCCTTTCTGTAAATCTATCATTCTGTAAAGGGTGTTGACTTAATTTGAGGACTCACAGTAATTCAGGTCTGCTTGCTAAATATCCTTATATCTCTTGCCAAATCCCACAAAAGTTTCTTGCCTTTTTTGTGGGAACAAGAAGCGGCCTGGAGAAAACATTTCTGTGTTTGTTGCACATTGTGTTATTGCTTCATGTCTCTTGAGTCATTTGATGACTTTCTTGTAAGGATTAGTACAGAAAACAAAGCTATCCTCCTTGAAAAACTGGTCAGTGTTCTTTGTCAGATTAGAGAGTTATGTAACCCATCACGTTTCCCTTTTTGCTTTGACTTCCCGGAAGCTCAGAGCTAAATGTTGTTTAGTCGCTAAGTTGTGTCCGACTCTTGTGACCCCATGTATTGTAGCCTGCCAGGCTCTTCTGTCCATGGATTTCCTAGGCAAGAATAGTGGAGTGAGTTGCCATTTCCTTCTCCACAGAGCTAAATGTAATGATCAGTCTTATAATTGTCAGTCCTGATGACCTCCCTTTCTCTTAACTATCTTTGCAATTTTCTTGTTTTGTTATTTTGTGTGTGGGTGTGTGTGTATGTGCTTTCTAATTCTAAACTGCTCCACTTCTCTTGTGAAAGTAGGCAAGTCTGCTTCTGGAACTTATTCGGTGGAAAGTTATGAATAAAATATGATACCCAAAGCAGGAGTGCATGTGGGACTCCTTGAAATTTGAGGGTGGGACAGAACGATTCAAAGACGTTATGCAGATGGTGACAGCAACTCCCTAGGAAGCAGGCGAGAAAACCTGTTCCTCCTCATCTCAGCTCAGGCCCCGGCTGGGGTGCCGCCTACCGTCTCCTTGCTGGGAGGAGAGACATCGCCATTCACCTAGAGAGAGTCTTGTTTTTATTTAGTTTATGAGACAACAGGCTTGAGAACAACTCAGGTGAACTGTTGTTGTTACATAGGTATCCGTGGCTGCAGAAACACCCACATCTAGATTCCTATGTGGATTCCATTGCTGATTTGAGAAAGTCACTGAACTTCTCTGGGTTTTAAATGGCCTCTTTTCAGTAAGGTGGCAGGCAAAAAGGGTGACATGGAGTTAGGTATTTATCCAGCCTCTAAATGAGAGATGGTTTTTACACTTAAAACCAGAGAAGTTGGACTTCCTGGTGGTTCAGTGGTTTCGACTCTATGCATCCAATGCAGGGGGCCCGGGTTTGATCCCTGGTTGGAGAACTAAGATCCCAGGTGCCCCGTGACATGACCCAAAAAAACAAAAACCAGAGAAGTTACAGAGGAAGAAATGTTACAAAGGAAGTATATTAAAATGTCAGCATTTGTGTGCTAGAAAAATAAATACAACTACTAACAAAAAAAGGACAGAGGAACAATTTTAATAATAAAATGCAGAATAAGCCAACAATACAAATCTATTTATTTTAATCAAGGAAATAAGAAAAACAATTTCTTTTAATTGCACAATGCTGGTGTCAATATAGTGAAACTTTCTCAATAGTGCTCACAGGAGAAATTAATCAGACCCTTTAAAAAGCCATTTGGAGGATTGTGTGGAGGGTTTTTAGAGTATTTATAACTTTGGCCCAGAAACTATATTTCCGGGACTTTGTGCTATGAAAACAATCCACAAACGGGAAAAACTCCTTGTAGAACGATGTCCATGGTGAGGCTGTTTGTATTATTTAAAATGAAATCAATATAAATATCTGATAGCATAGATAACACAAAATGGATAGGACATTTTTTAAATTAATGCTTTAATTTAACATGGCAAATACTTGGTACAGCAAGATATAAAATAGTATGCATACATTTATTGTCTACAATGATATTTTTATATATGAGAGTTCAAGAGTACAAGAAAATGCAGTAGTGGTTGTGTTAGAGTAGCAAGAAAACTTTTTCTTGAACCTCTGTTTTTCAAGAACATAGTTATGTTACTTAATAAAAAAATACACAGCTTTTTACTTTAAAGGAACAGAAAATAAAACAAAGAGGTGGGTTAGATATGTATTTCCCAGATTTTTCAATCCAGATCAATGAAAGTAAGGAAAAAAACAACAACAAAAAGAAAAAAACAGGGATGGAGCCTAAGAGAAATTACTGTATTTAGCTTGCCAGGTTAACGATATCTAAAAATATTATCTATTACCAATGTAATTTAATAATTAACAATTTAACAAAGGGAAAATCATTTTTTTTATCTTATTGGAGGAAAAGGCCATTTTAATATCAAAATGGTAGGATGGATATCTTTCGCTATCACGTCCTTATTTCCTCCATTGGCTGAAGACCTGTGGACCCCTGATGGCCGGCTCTGGGGTCAGACTTGGGAACCTTCTCCCAAGATGAGCCAGGCCCAGGCTCTGACCAGCCCTGGTCTCAGGGTTAGTGGGCCCCCCGGCAGCAACTGCCACTTTTCCAGAATTTTAGAGGGTGTGCTGGTATTTCTTTGGGAACTTCAGTTGGCAGTTGTTCATACCTGTGATTGATAAACACTGAGGCCTCCTGTTTGCAAATACTGAGCCTCCTGATGAGGGACGCCCGGTGATGATGGATCACCGCTCTCACAGACAAATCGTGGAGTGCTTCAGCTCGCCGCCTCTGTGTATTTCATACACAGACAAATTGGATAAAAATCAGCACCCCCGCCCCGAATATAGCCTCACACTTTTTCCCTGATGCCTGGGAAAAGGGGAGCCTCGCAGAAATACAGTGTGGTCTCTACCATCCCCACCCCTGCTCAGGAAAACTTAGGGAAAGTTGCCTGGGAGCACTGTTCCCTCTGAGTGCCTGGGGGTTTATGGACGAGGACCAGCCAATGGATGGAAGGGTGGGCACTCACCCTGCCTTCCAAGAGACACAGGCCTTCCCTGAAGGGGTCTGGATTTACCTTCTCCATAAATCTACCCGTGTCCTCCCCATGAAGTCAGGGATTCTTGAACAAAACACCAGGGGAGCTTTTCAGAAGCCCAAGATTCTAAGGTCAGGAGTAAGATCTGGGATTTTAACTATACCTGCAGGTGATTTCAGTGCCTAACAGACTTGAGAACAGCCAGGTGAAGGTCTTGGTGAGTGTTCAGATGGGTCTGGTAGGTGTATGAATGAGGCCACAGCGGGGACCTTTTATTTATTCATTTAATAATGTAACTGAGCACATTTTGCTCCATCTCAACCTGGTGGACCCCCACGTCCGAGGTGCTCTCCGATGGGGGAGGCCTCCCTACTGCAATACTCCCGGAAAGGGAAGAGCCACTTCTGATGGTTCTGTTTTGTGAGCCCAGGACTGTAAGGTGGGGTCCATCTCCAACCACTCACAGTTCTGGAATGCTCCCCGGGGAGGTGTGAATCAGCCTGCCCTCCTCTCCCCGGGCCTGCAGCCAGGTGGCGAGTGTGTTTGTGCGGGGCAGACACGTCTGGGTGTGGTGTGTCACTCATCCTTTTTTCTGGCTGTCAAAGGTGCAGATAATTAATAAGAAGCTGGATCTTAGCAACGTCCAGTCCAAGTGTGGCTCAAAGGATAATATCAAACACGTGCCAGGAGGCGGCAGTGTGAGTACCGTCACACTTTCCAGCTGTGGTTCTGGGTTTGAGAAGTGGCATGAGTGTTTGTACTTGCGAGACATTGCATAGAATAAACCATGCTCAGGCTCAGAGTCTATCTGGGTAAATGCAGCCCAGACTCCCTGCACCCACAGGTCCAGGAGGGGTGCCCTGTTGCATGGGCAGATCGAGTGACTGGTCCTCCAACCTGTTCTGGAAGCGGGATCCTCCCAGCCTCATTGTCACGCCTGCTCACGGGGAGCCCCGCAGCCCCTCTGAGTTAGAGCTAAACGTGGTGGCACCTGAGACTGGGCTCTGACACCACCACCTCCATCACCTGAGTAGGTTCGCTTTAAGAGGCTCCACTGGGAACAGCTGGCCCACACCAAGGTCTTTACAGTCCTGCCTCGGGACAAGCAGAGGCCAACCAGGCTCTGCTCCCGTTTGTCTTCTGCGTCTACGAGGGATAAGCCTCTCGGCTCTCGTTTGAAACCAGTTCCACCCCTGGCGGAAGCTCCAGATGCGAAAGAGCCCAACAAAAGTACATCAGGGAGCGGCCTGCAGCTAAGGGGGACAGAAATGCTACTTGGAGCCCTTTGAAATTTGGCCGCCTCCAGGTGTCCCTAGGGACTCCCTGCATTTCCCCACTGGATGCATCCCTGAGATTTGGGGCTGATCCTCATTCTTGCCTGCCCACTTGATCAGCTCTGCTGGTATCTTCCAAGTGACCAAACTGGGTGTAGACTTGGCATCCTGAGGCTCGGCCCCCCTTCTCCACAGCCCCTTTGCTCCCCCAGCCTCTCTTGGTCGGCCTTGGGCAAATGTTGAAACATACTGGGGAGTAGGAGATTCAAGCCCCTTTGAGGTCCACCCCTGGGGGGGAGGATGGCTTGTAAGAGCAGGCATCTGGTCCCCAGCTGGCAGCGCTGGGGAGGCAGTAGTTTATTTGACAGTGGAAGCCCTGGGGGTTGTGCTCTCTGTCCAGAAAGTGCCCAGCCTCTACCCGTACATCATCCACATCCAGACCTGAGGGTTTATTCTTGCAATGTGCTGCTGCCTCCTGCCTGAGCACCCGGGGCGGGCTCTGCTGCTGACTCCTTATGGCCCCCGGAGTGGCGGGCACTCACCCCGAGGCTGCTGCATGGCGCTTCACTAACGCTTCCTCACCGGTGTCTGCTCAGTGTCCCCCCCGCCCCAGTGCCCCCCGTCTCTGCTCTCCTGTCCCACTGCCACCTTGTCTTCTGCCAAGAGAAGGGGTGGGGACCACCCTCACCCACTGCCGGCCTGACCATGGGCTCTGGGTGACATTGCTGTTTTAGCTTTGACTCCTGGCTTCCCTGCCGACAGCGGGCTTCAGCTAGAGCAGGAAAGACATGTGCTTTCCGGTTTAACTCGTGTCTGGTCGGCTGATGGGAGGAGGTGCTGCTGGGCTGGAGGCGGGGGTCCAGTGGCCGCAGTCAGCAGACCGTTCCTTCCAGCAGAAGCTTGAGGGAGGGGGTGCGTGCCTGCTGCTGGGTGGGCAGTGCTTACGACCTCGAGGGACTTCCCCAGAAGCACCTCCCATCTGTCCTGCACTCTGCGGGCCGGCGGACTAGCCTGGGACCCGGCCCGGCAGAGAGCCACAGGATGTTGGCTCGTGACCGCTGCAGTAGGACCTGGTGAAAGGTGGCTGAGGGTGATAAGGCGCTTGGGGGGTGGTGGGCCCCTGGCCTGGCAGGGGGACCCTCCTCAGCTTGGATGTAGCTTCCCAGCAGGCAGGCCCTGCTCCTTCCCGCGGTTCTCCCTGCCTGCTGCTTGAGTCCCGGCTTCACTCCAGAGCCTGGCTTCCTCCCTCCCCGGCCTCAACCGCCTCAGCACCTCCCTGTCCTGGCTCCTGTCCTCCCCACCCTCCCCCATTTCTCTCCCCTCCCCTTCCCTTCCCTCCCCCTCCATCATGCCTTACCCCCTTCCTCCTCTTCCTTCTACACAGTGCCACCCTCCTCCTCCGCAACTGGTTACACCCCCGCCCCAAACAGGCTGAAAAGAGAAGAGGGAAGCCTCGCACACACCAGCCTTTGCTTCAGCTTGCTCCTGCGAGGAAAGGGGGGGTAGTTTCCACAGCCCCCCTGTCCCCCCATCTCCAGCACCCCACCTGGAGCGCAGGCTCAGAACCCCTCATTAACCCACCCACCCCCACAGGCGTGGGCTCCCGGCGCCTCCCTCCCCACACCTACGCACACGGGCCATCCCCTTGTCAGCCTCCATCAACTCTCTGCCAGTAATCAACAAACGGCAACATGATTTTGATGAACGTAATTTGGGATTATTCCAGATGATTTAGACCTAAATAAAAACTCCTCCTTGATGTGCTTGTTAAACCCATTCTCGGGCAGGAGGCCATTCCTCTCTCCAGGTAACTCCAGGGCAGGGAGCAGGAGCCCACTGGCTCAGTGGTGATTGGCCTCCTGTGTCCTCAGGTGACCTCACACAAGGGACGTGTCACCCCGTGACCATCAGGGGCCCCCACAGTCATGGCTTTGTGCAGACTTCCTCAAGAAGATCCCCTCTGCTGACGCTGGGTCCCTGTGGGGTGTCTCCTCCAGGCGGCCGGGGGTGGCTGTGTGGCTGGGCCACATGCTGCACCCTCAGGCCGGCTCTGAGCCCTGGGGCCCTTAGGCCTCCCGCGTGTGTCTGCTGAGCCGCCCTGAGACACTAAACCGGTGATTCCTGCTGTGCCGCCTGACCGTCCTGCTCGTGTGGCTTTGCTCTTTTCGGTAAAGAACCAAACCGTCCAGGACGTTGTGTGCCCAGGCGCCGCCCTGCGCTTCACTCTTCCCGGGTCGCCGAAGTGCACTGGGCCCCGCTCGCTCACCATCGTTGTTCTGCCTTAGGAGTGCTGGGGTTCGTAAAGCTGCTCCTGGGAGAAGGTGCTCCTAACCACTCCACCCCGCCCTCTGCTCTCGGAGGCCCAGCAGGCACGGCTCTTTCGCTTTGCCAAGGTTTTTCAGATGCCGCACACACGGACCCCTTCTTTTTCTGTCCTCACTGAATGTGATCTTTCAATCCCATGTCAGGAAAGAGAATGACCTTTTCATGTGTGTTTGCCAAACCAGTGGTGTGGGCCCTGCCCCAAACGGCGGTAGCCCTGTATTTCTGAGGGTCCTTGTCCTATGGGATCGAAGGCACTCCATTTATTTCGCTCCCAGGGCAGGGTTGGCAGAATTCCAACACATTTTCCCATCAGTACTAGGGTGTGTTCCTCGTGGCAGACCGGAAACGCTGTCCGAGCAGGGCCTGCTGCTTTTTATTGTTTCACTCCCAACAAAATAATCCTGCTTTACTCTCTCTCGTTCTCTCTCCCCTCCAGGTGCAAATAGTCTACAAACCAGTGGATCTGAGCAAGGTGACCTCCAAGTGTGGCTCATTAGGCAACATCCATCATAAGCCAGGTAGCCCTTGAAGGAGGCAAGACGGGGCGGGGTGGCCAGGGGGCGGGACCGGATGGGGCGGTGCCTTCTCCGGAAGTGGCTGAAAAGGATAGATGGGATGGGCCATCAAGGAGAGTGTTGGGGGTGGAGCTTGCTGGGGCCTGGGAGGTGTGGCTCTGTGTGTAGCGCCTGAGTGGGACCAGGCTGCCCAAGACAAGGTAAGAAGGGAGGGCAGATGCTGAGCTAAACCCTGACCCGCGGCTCTCCAAGCGGGCTGCACACAGGGCCTCTGAAGCTGGAGAAGGACCTGATCTGGCTCCCGAAGACTAGCTCTGTGGATTTGGTCCCCAGTTTGGTCCTCAGCCAACAGGAGGGACATTTCAGCCACTGCTCCAGCTACAACAGGGGAGTCCTGGGCCATGGCCATGTCCCCGCCGAAATGATACTGTGGAACTCCCCATGCGCGCCCTTCCCCTCTCCATCTCATGCCATGCAGAAATTGGTGCTGCCTGTAGGTCTTTCTGCAACAGTGGAAACGTTCTGTACCTGTCCTGTTCACTGTGGTAGCCACTCACCATATGCGGCTGTTGAGCATTTGAAATGTGGCCGGTGCAGTTGAGGAAATGAACCAATTTTATTTAATGAAATTTGGGGAACTCCCTAGCAGTCCAAAGGTTAGGTCTTGGCGCTTTCACTGCCAGTCCCAGGTTTGTTCCCTGATCCAGGAACTAAGATCCCACAAGCCTTGTGGTGCAGCCAAAAAAATTAAAATTTAAATAAAATTTAAGTAGCCATGGGCTACCATCTTGGAGAGCCCAGATCTAGATTCTAACTCCTGCCTGAGAGTTCAGAACAGGGCTTCTGCCTTAGGCCCTCTCTGGGGCTTGAATCATTACTGCAGGAAGAGAGGTGGTCAGAAGTGCAGTCTAGAATGGCATTATTTTCTGTCTCCTTGGACACTTTGGGGGAGTTGAGTCTTTCTGCCTGTCCTGGGGCCACCATCCCATCACACTGAGGCAACTTTGTTGAGTGGTTTTATCCTTCCAAAGAAAGTAATGTAGTTCATCTCTTCCTAAGGTCATGTCTCCCACACTTGGACAGGGCATCGAGTGTCTGAGGAGGGAGAAAATGTCAGGGTCCTTCCTTATGAAGGGTGCATTTTGTCCTTCAGTTTAATTCTGAGGTCTTGCAGGATGTTGGCATAGAAAGGCTCAACTCCTTGGAAGCCGACCAATTTAGAATAATTTCTCTTGAACTGAGCTGTCCTTTACCTTTGCACTAAGGAGGAAGAGTTTGCTGAGTAGATATTTGATGTACACCCTGATTAGTGAGATAAAAAGAAAAAAATGAAGATGAAGCAAATTGTTTTCAAGCCCTTTGGAAGGACCTACTTGTTCCAAACCACACTCTAAATAAAAGCTGGTCGTAGCTCCTCCTCGAGGTTGGCGTCTGCATGCAGTCGCTGGTTTAGCCCTCACTCAAGACTCGGTGCCTTCTGTGTGTTGTGTTCCAGGAGGTGGCCAAGTGGAAGTAAAATCTGAGAAGCTGGACTTCAAGGACAGAGTCCAGTCGAAGATTGGGTCCCTGGATAACATCACACACGTCCCTGGCGGAGGGAATAAAAAGGTAAAGGGGCGGGACAGAGGCTGTAACAGAGTCCGGTGTCTCAGAGCAGGAGAGCTGAGGGTCCCGTATGCACTGGCTGGAATTGGATTCTCAGCTACTTGCGGGGCTCCACCTGGGCTACCCTTCACCATCCTCGGGAGCCTTACCAGCCTTGATGCTAGGCCCCACCTTGGAGATTCTGACTGGTTTGTCTCAGAAGCCATCTGGGTACCTGGAGTGGAGCTTTTAAAGCCCCCAGGTGACTCTTCAGTGCAGTTAAAGGTGAGAGGTGCTGCCCTTGGCCCTGTGGTTGGCCAGCACCCCCAGGAGGAAGTAGCCATCACCAAAGCCAGCCCCAGTCATGGGAACATAACCTTATTTTCTAGAAGGTCACAGGCAGTTAGAGGCAAACAGCGATGCTGGAATCCAGGTTTCAACAAAGCCTCTGCAAGTGTCCATCAGGAGGCCACTGGACCGAGAACCTGGGTGTTCCCCATGGTTCCTAGAAGCCCTGGGTCTGGATGTCTGGGTGCAGTGGGGGCTGGGGAACCCCAGTGCCTCCCTCTGGGCTCGTCACAGAATTCTGTTGTGTGGCGACGCTTTTTCTCTTCATAAATTCAGTGAAATGCCCTCTGGGGTTTCCTGCCCGTGCCTGCCCTGAAATTCTGCAAGTGGTTCGTGTTCCCGTCTTCAGTGCCTCCCAGCAGCTGACTGAGGAGGACGGGGACGGGAGGGCTGCCCCAGCACAGAAACCAAGACCCGGCCCAGCGGTGCAGTGCAAAGGGCCCCACTGTCGGAAGTGGCAGCTGGGCCAAGCTTGGCGGGAGCCGGGGTCCCCAGGCAGTCACCTCCCTCCCCCCATCCCGCCCACCACCTCCTCCTCCTCTGGTCTGGACCGACAGACACACTCCACCTTTGCGGTGAAAGCCTGACTGTGTGGTTTCTGAGCGGCACTTGCTGGACTGAGTGCGCTTAAAGCAGCGGTTGGCGCTGAGACCTCGGGGCTGACCTGACCTGATGACCAGTGATGGAGCCCCACGAAGGCTGAGGGGCATGTGGGGTCCAGGCTCCCCACAGGTCTCCCTGACCATCACGGTTGTACATACAGCGTCCCTGGGTCTCCATCAGACGTTAGACCCAGGGAAATGAGAAGGTTTTTTTTGCAAAAGGCCAGCTTGTTTCCATTGCTGCCCCCACCCTGTTTAACACAGGGCCTCCCTGCCCTGGAGAGCTTAATGAAACTGCCATCCCACCCTGGAGAGTCTGACTGATTATATATGGAATGAGTGGGTAGGTCTGGCTGTTGGTGATTCCAGGTGAAGGAAGGCTGCTACCCCTGACTCTGGAAGCTTCTCTTTCCGGGGGAAAGCTCTGGGCTTGACTCTGCTTGGAGGCGTGACCCCCGGAAGCTCTGCAAGCCCTCTCAGCCTTGGGTTCTCCTTCAGCAAAATGGACAGAAACATCCCCGTCCCGGAGTTAGCAGCAAAATCCAGGTCTGGACTTCTGTTTTCACTCATCTCTGCGATGCCTCAGAAAGGGAGGGCCCTGCCCACTGCCCATTGCCCGGAAGACACTGTCCTGGTCCCAGAGTTTCCTTGTGTGCGGTCCCATTTTGCTCTGATGAGCAACACTGCTGACAAGCAGCAGAGTGCAGGAACCCCGCCACCCGAGTTCTTTCAGCTTGGGGAGTTTGGGGACATTCCCAGGAGGCTGTCACATTTTTCTTAAGAACATAAATGTACGTCAACATGGTCTTTCAGTTACAGTAATAAGGAAGAGTCCTTTTTTCAAAGCAGTCACTGAAAATAAGCATATAGCTTAGATGGGAGCCTGATTTTTCTCTACATTGAAATGCCCCTACAACAGGGGCTCTTTTCTTGGGATCCGGAGACTTCTGAACTTGTAGGGAGAAATTGTCAGATGTGTGTGAGAGCAGGCAGGCAGGTGTACACATTTTCCTGGTCTCACCAGATGCTTATGAAGGTCTTGTGTTTGTGCTAAGTCACTTCAGTTGTGTCTGACTCTTTATGACTCTGGACCGTAGCCCATCAGGCTTCTCTGTCTATGGGATTTTCTAGGCAAGAATACTGGAGTGGGTTCCCATGCCCTCCTCCAGGGGATCTTTCTGATCGAGGGATCGAACCTGTGTCTCTCAAGTCTCCTGCATTGGCAGGCAGACCCTTTATCACTAGTGCCACCTGGGAAGCCCCCAAGGAGGTCCCAAGACCTCAAAAAGGTTGAGGATTACTGTGTCCATCACTTCAGAGCTCATCAGGAGAGAATAACTATGTACTGCTTGCCATCTGCAGCTCAACTGTCTGCTTCTGAGCTTTCCAGGTATCCTTTGGAGCTAAGACCTCCGGGTCAAGGATGCTCTACTTATTTTTTTCTTTATTTTTAAATTGAAGTCTAGTTGATTTACAGTGTTGTGTTAGTTTCATGTGTAGAGCACAGTGATTTAGTTATACATGCATACATATATTCTTTTTTGGATTCTTTTCCTTTATAGGTTATTGCAAAGTATTGAGTATAGTTAGTTCCCTGTGGTAGACAATAGGTTCTTGTTGCTTATCTATGTTATATGTAGTAGGGTATATGTTAATCCTAACCTGATTCATCCCCCTTCTCCTTCCCTCTTTGCTAACCATAAGTTTGTTTTCTGTCTGTGAGTCTCTTTCTCTTTTGAAAATAAGTTCATTTGTACCTTTTTTTAAAGTTTTTTTTTTATTGCAATATCGTTCATTTATGGTGGTGTGCCAATCTATGCAAAATGACTCAGTTATATACATACATCCTTTTTTTATTGTATTCCATTCCATTCTGGTTTATCACAGGATACGGAATAGAGTTCCCTGTGCCATACAGAAGGACCTTGTTGTTTACCCATTCTATATATATATATATATATATATATATACACACACACACTAGTTTGCATCTGCTAATCCCAAACTCCCAGTCCATCCCTCCCCCACGCCCTCGTGGTCACCACAAGTCTGATCTCTGTGTCTGTGGGTCTGTTTTTGTCTGTGAATCTGTTTCTGTTTTGTAGATGGGTTCATTTGTGCCATATTTTAGATTCCACATACAAATGATATATAGTATGTGTCTCTTTCTGACTTACTTCACTTAGTATGATAATCTCTAGTTGCATCCATGTTGCTGCAGATGGCAATATTTCATTTTTTTGGTGGCTGAATTCCATTCCCACATCTTCTTTATTCATTTGTCAATGGACACTGAGGTGGCTCCCACGTTTTGGCTGCTGTGAACATAGGACTGCTGGATCACATGGCAGCTCTTATTTGTAGACTTTTTGTTGATGGCCATTATAACTAGAGTGAGGTGATACCTCGTGTGGTTTTTGACTTGCATTTCTCTAATAATTAGCAATGTTGAGCACCTTTGCATGTGCTTTTTGGCCATCCTTGTCTTCTTTAGACAAATTTTTTTTAGATCATCGGCCTAATTTTTGACTGAATTGTTTGCTTTTTTGATAATGAGTTGTATGAGCTGTTAGTATATTTCAGAACGATGTGCTGCTCTGATCAGGGCTCCGTTGCCTCATGCTTTCTGGTACACCTGCCAGCGCTGCCCACAGCAGCTGCCACCTCCAGGGTCCTCATCAGTCATTGGCAAAGGGGAGGAATGTGTTTGGCTCACAGCTGGATGGCTGGGGGTCTGGGCCCCTCCCTGTATCTCCTCCAGCCTTTCTTTCCACACTTTCATCTGCAGTCTGGCAAAGTGCATGTGCACATCAACGTGAAATGTGCATGCCTTTTGACCTACTAGCAATCCCACTTCTAGGAGACATGGTACATATGTGAAATGATGAGTACAAGGTTATTCAACATTTTTCATACACAGCATTGTCTGTGAGAGCAAAAGATTGGAACAACCTAAATATCTACCAACAAGGGAGTAGATACATTTTGGTATATCTGCTGTGATGAGAAAGCACACAGCCTCAGCAAGCAGTGAGGGAGCTATGTAGGGTCAATGCAAAGTATTAAGCCTAAACGAGGGAGTGCAAAGCATGTGGATACTGTTGCCATATGTATGCATATATATACATGTATATGTATTTTTTTCTCTACTCACACATACACATGTTTGCATGTGTGGGCTATTCCTAGAAGGGTACACAAGAAGCCCACAATGGTCACTGCTTCTGGAGAGGGGGCCTGGGGGGCTGGCTGGCAGGTGACTAGGATGCTGCAGCTTAGCTGTTGGGAAGCCATGAAACCATTGTGGCCACCATGGCTCCCTCCCTCCTAAGGCCGGCAGGCTATCACCCAACCCAACTCTCCTCCTTACCCTGCCCCCTCTTCTCTTGCAGATCGAAACCCACAAGCTGACCTTCCGCGAGAACGCCAAAGCCAAGACCGACCACGGGGCGGAGATCGTGTACAAGTCACCCGTGGTGTCGGGGGACACGTCCCCCCGGCACCTCAGCAACGTGTCCTCCACCGGCAGCATCGACATGGTGGACTCGCCGCAGCTCGCCACCCTCGCTGACGAGGTGTCCGCCTCCCTGGCCAAGCAGGGTTTGTGATCAGGCCCCGGGGCGGTCAGTAATCGTGGAGAGAAGAGAGTGAGAGAGTGTGGGAAAAAAAAGAATAATGCTCTGGCCCTTCGCCCTCTGCCCTCCCCCAGCTGCTCCTCACAGATCAGGTCATCGGCTCATCACTAACCTGCTTGTCGCTCAGCTCTGGCTCGGGGCTTCCAAACCAGTGACCGAAACAGAGCCAAGTTCAGCTTTCCAAATTGATGGGTGGGCCAATCCTAATAAAGTATTTTTAAAAACGCTCCAAAAGAGGGCCCCACCCAGAACTTCCTTGGGCAGTTACTTTTGATTCTTTTTTTTTCCCCCTCTGAGCGGAAGAGGGAGAAGGGAGGCTCTGAAAGCTACTTCCGGGGGGCTCTCCAGGCCTGGGGGGGTGCCCCATTCTGGGGGTGTCCCCGAGGCAGCAGTGGCAACAAGGGACTTGCAACTTGGCACATTGGCGGAGCCACAGGCGCACGGCCGCCTTTCGAGCAGGGCGGGGTGGGCGGGGCCGGGCAGGGGGGCGGGGAGGGAAGGGAGGGGCCTGTGTGGGAAGGGGAAGCCGGGGCCTGGCTGGAGGGCAGCCGGCAGGGCACAGCCTCCACCACCCACCGCAGTCTCGGACCAGGCGGAGTCCCGTTCTTGGCGGCTGAGGTCCCTACCCTCTGCGGGGAGAAGGGACGGGGCAGGAGAAGGAAGGGGATGGGAAGGACGTCGTGTGGGTCACCTCCTTGGAGAAGACCACCGAGCGTGGCCTCTTCCTTCTCGCAGGGGTGTGGGTGGGGGTCCTGAGCTGGGGGGCTTCTCTCGGCCCCCTGGAGACCCCGTTTTATTGAGTTCTGAAGGTGGGAACTACAGCCACGTTTTTGGCCACCTCACAGATCTGGGACTTAGGGCTAACCAGTTCTCTTTGTAAGGACTTGTGCCTCTTGGGGGCACCTGCCTGTTCCCGAGCCTGGGCCTCCGGTCCTGAACCTCTCCTCCTTCCCACGGCCATGCAGCCCCCCGTCTGCCCCCGCCACGCCTGTGTGTCTGCCGTGCGGAGCCCGGTCACGGCCTGTCCCCTCACTACGTCACGCCGAGTTCCTCGCCTCACCACCCACCCCTTCTCGGTGATGGACATTGTTCCGATGGGGAGACACCTGCTCTCTACCAAGGGGGAAGTCAAGGAGGCCGAGGTCCGGACACCGGGGACCTCCATCTCTCTGAGTTATAGGCATCCAGCTGTGTCCCTCACAATGGACCCCACGACCTTACTCAATTCCCTGCCCCCACCGCCATCACAGTCACAAGCCAGGGTGGGGTTCGCAGTGACCCTGGATGTTCATGCCTTGTCTGGGCCCGGTCCCCATCCAGTGCCGCGCTGGCAGCAGGCTGGCCATCCCGGATGCCAGCGATGGCACTGGGGCAGGCGGGCAAGGCCCCCAGGGCAGGACCACGCCCCTGCTGTCCCCCACTTCTGCCCCAGCTTGTGACTGCCAGCCTCTCGGAGCCCAGCCGCTGTTCGACCCCAAGTCTGTGTCATCATCCGAAAAGGGAAACGTGCCCCCTCGGAAGCAGGGTGGTCTGTCCTGGAGCAGCTGAACATATACATAGATGTCGCCCTCCCCTCCCCGTCCACACCCTGTCGCCTTGTAGTCTGATTTGTCTGTTTATGCTTGGATTCACCAGAGTGACTCTGATAGTGAAAAGAAAAAAAAAAAAAAAGGACGCATGTATCTTGAAATGTAAAGAGGTTTCTAACCCGCCCTCGTGGGAGTCCTAGGTGTCTCTCACCCCCCAGCGGGACTCAGATCCAGAAGGCCCACGTGGCTCTCCCAGTTGATGAAAGATTTCCGTCAGCATCAGGGAACCAGCAGAGACCAGATCCTGACACTGGAGAACCCTCGGCTGTGAACACCTGAAGCCCAGGAGAGGACAGCAGCTCCGGTACCCCCTCCCTGACCCGGGGCTCCCTTCTGTCAGGCAGAGGGCATGTGTCTTGCGGTGAAGATAGCCCCGGAGAAGGCCCATAGCAGCCCCCAGAGAGGGCCGGACAGCTCCCCGCATCATGAGTGCCCACTGGGGCAAGGTCTGCAGCCCACCCCTCAGCTCCAAGCTCTCCCTCAGGAAGGACGGTCCAGCCGCCCACCCAGGGCCCTACGGCCACAGCAGGGCCTGAGACGAACGATCGGACCCAGCTTTCTGACGTGGTGACCCTCTCCTGCCACGGGGACAAGGGAAGCAGCCTTTGTCAAAATCTGTTTAAAGGAAATCTCAACCTTGGTCCAGGTCTGCCATTTCTGGTGTGGGGACAGTCAAAGGCAACCCTATGGGGCTGGGAGGGTCAGAGTCCGGGGCCAGCTGCTCCGTTTGCAGTCAGAGTGTTCCATGCCAGGGATCATGTGGGCCCCAAACGTCCCCCCACGAGGCTCTCCTCGGCTCTCCGAGTCCCAGCTGGTCTTGGAAGGGTTCTGAGGGAGGAGGAGGAAACGGTGTAAAGATGTGAGCAATGTGGCCCCCCCTTACTGCCACCAATTTTGGCCGCGTTCCTTGCACCCCTCCTTGCAGTCTCGTGTCCGGCTTTCCAAGTACTTCCTTCCCAGAGGGCTCTGAAATCACCTGTGTTGGGATCAGCCTGAAGTTCATGGTTTAGGTGATCAGGTCAGTTGCTATCGTGGTTTAGGTGATCAGGTCAGTTGCTGGCAGGGAGTCTGCAAAGGGATGCTGGCTTGTAACCTTAAATGAGGACAATCCCCCCAGAGCTGGCACACCCCTACCCCCGTTTCCTCCGGAGTCGGTGTCCCTCATCCACCTGGTCCCCTCAAGCTCTCCACTCACTTTATCAATAGTTCCATTTAAATTGACTTCAGTGGTGAGACCGTATCCTGTCTACGATTGCTTGTTGTGTTCGAGGGGGGAGGGGGGAGGAACCTGTAAGATAGTTAACCACTGGGCAAAGGGGTACAGTAGTCCGAAGCCTAGTAACTCTTCGTGATTTCAACCACGGTGCCAGAAGTCCCTTGGGATTTCGCCTTTCCACTGACAGGTGCGGCAGGCTGCCAGCTAGTTCTCCTTCCCGGCCAGGTGGTGAGGTTTGTGGAGGACTCGAGATCCGGTTGCTGTCCTGCTGCCCTTTTGCAGGGTCCCAAGCCCACAACCCTGCCTCCCAAAGCTGCTTTGAGGCATCCTTTCCTCAAAGTTATTGGCACCTCCGTGTCACCTTTCCCACCAGCTCGATACACAGCCTGTACTTCTAACAGCTGCTAAGATCTTGTCACCCTTTGATCTCTGTCCTCGGAGGAGAGCAGAGAGAGGCAGGGACGAGGGCAGAGGTGGAGGTCATCGGCCTGTCCTCTCTACAGAAGTGTGGCTTCAAGAGCCTTCTGGTTTCTGTTTTGAAAAGGGTTTACCCTGGGCACCGACAGTCTCACTCCTACTGGACCGAGCCCCGTGAATCTGCAGTGTGGGGCAGGACAATTTCTGGCACTTACAGGTCCCATGATTTCTTTGTTAATTTTGAGGGTGGGGGGAGGGACATGAAACCATCTTAGCTTAGCTTCCTGTCTGTGAATGTCCATATCGTGTATTGTGTGTTTTAACAAATGATTTACACTGACTGTTGCTGTAAAAGTGAATTTGGAAAATAAAGTTATTACTCTGATTAAATAAGGCCTTTGTGTATGGATTTAAAGGACCAGAAAACGATGTTACAATTTCTAAGTCCCTTCCCAGCCTTTGGGAACTTAGCTCAGGAAATGACAATACTGTTGAAACCAGGATGTGAGGATTTACCAGCTGGCTCTGGGGCCCTGAAGGTGAAAGGACTTTCAAGCTTGTTTGTTTCGATTTTCTCAAACTGGTGCTGGCAAACCATCCTGGTCCAATTCAAAGGGCAATAAATACCCTTGTGGCTAAGCTCACAAGGCCCAGCCTGTAGAAGACCCAAACCACTGTATTCAGACCTGAGAAGGCAGGGTTAGCTCCGTGAGATCTCTTGATCCCTGGAAATGAGTGGAGAGGCCTGGGGATGAAGCAGGACACTGACTGGGCTGGTCAGTGGAATGAGGGGCTCCGGTTCCTTCCAGGATCAAAGCTGCTCTCCTCTGAGCCTCATCTCAGATGGAGAGTGCTAGATCTCTATTAGGGATCCCAAATAGCCCCTGGTGAGGCTACAGAGGAAAAGAAAAGCAGACACGCAGAACCCATCGTATTATTGTTCCTTAGTGGTTATGTCAAGTTCAGGCCTTTGATTTTTCCACAGTTTCAAAATACTCACTTTTCTCAGCTTTTCCTGAGATGCTTTAGCCATTGCAGACAGAAGCTTAAGTACAGCAGATCTTAACTGCGAACTACAGAAGCAGCAACAGGGCAGCCAAAGACTTCAGAACTTGGGTAAAAAAAAGACCAAAAAAGAAAATATATATATATATATATAAACACTCAGGCAGCTTCACTGGCTGTGTCGACCTGACTGCTGTGAAAAGGGAAAAAGGAAGCAGCAAGAGAACCAGGCCCACCCACTTACTCATCTTCTACAAAGAAACTCAAAACTTTTCTTCTTTCCTCACAAGAAAGCTGCTGAGAACCAGCTCAGGCTCTGTGCAAAGTATATTAAATCCTCAGTGATCTCAAACCCAGAGGAGGTCAAAAGTGAGATGTGACATCTCCACTAGAGAGCAATTTATTTTCTTTATAATCCTATCCTTCTTGGCCGTGCTGGGTCTTCGTCGCTGCGCGTGGGCTCCCTGCGGTGGCCTCTCCGGTTGCAGAGCACTGGCTCAGGGCGCTGCCCCGGCTTCAGCAGTCGTGGTGCACAGGCTTAGTTGCCACTCGGCATGTGGGATCTTCCCGGATCAAGAATGAACCCATGTCTCCTGCATTGGCAGGTGGATTCTTTGTCACTGAGCCACCTGGGAACCCTAGAGAGCAATTTAGAGTAGATTAAAAAAAAAAAAAAAAAAAAAGCCACACTGCTGGCTGGCCTCACCAGAGGTAGGCACATTAAAGCCAAAGTATAGAAACGAAGACCCAGCACAACAACAACAAAAAAAGGCAAATGAACTTCAAAAAAAAAAGCAATGGGTCAGTTACTTCTATCCAACCACCACCACCTTTCCTCCTGACACCTCTTGCCCACCACACCTATGAAAACCCACATCCCCTCTCTGGTGACCGTCAGAGGAGCCCACCTCTGCCCAGAAGATGGCACCGAGTCTTCCCAGTGTTCAGCGCCAGTCAGAGGAACTCCCCAGCAGGGCAGGTCCTTACCACCATTACCACGTCCAGTGACAAGAAAGGCCTGGCATACTACGTTCTGTAACTTTTTTTTATTATTTTTTTCAATTTTTCCTTCCTTTTTTTTTTTAAGCACTAGTCTGTGCTTTGCGAACAGAATCAAGACATTAACAAAGATCAGCTTCTCTGAAGAAAAGCATTTCTATAGAACAAAGACAGCTACATGTTTCGCTGCCAATACACAGCTCAAAGCAGGAAAAGAAAATATTTACAAAATACAAGTTTTTTTTTTCCATTTTTGATTTTGTTTTTTTTTTTTTTTACAATGCTAAAAGGGTTATTCAGAATTTTCAACCTTATAAATAGAAGAAGCACTTTATGCATAGGGATATGGTGCATTATTGTTTTTTTAAAGAAACAATGACAAACCCTTTAACTTGCAAACAGAATCAAAAAAAAAATCACTAATGTTGAAAATTGTGAAAAAACCCCAACATTAAGCAGTTTGTCTACTATTTTTATACGATTACAAAATGGCAAAAAAAAAAAAAAAAAAAAAAAGTCCTTATTGCCCCCCTTTTGGTGATGTGATCATAGATGAGACAGGCACACAGTTAAGCCAGGGGGTGACGGGGAGTGACGGGACCCACAGCAAGGACCAAGGACCAGACAGTGTTCCACAGGCAAAGGAGCTCGAGAGAGGAAGGGTGGACAGACACCGGCAGGGAACTGGACTGACGGAGGAGGGGATACGACCAAATGATTCCGAATGACCCCATCCGTGAAAACAGGATTCCAAAGGGGCGATGGCTGCTCATTTCCCAGACTCCCTAGAGTCAGAGGAGTGGGAAAACCCTACACCTCCACAGACCAGGATAAGTGGGAGAAACGTTCCGAGGGGAAGGACCAGGTGTGGGTGTGTGTCTGGGGTGGGGCAGCAGATGAGGGGACTGGGAAGGACAGGGACCCGAGCAGCCGCAGCCAGGTTACTGCAGTTAAGGAGCCAAGACAGGGACGACTGAACGCAGAGGAAACCCTGGGAGGTCTCCAAGATCTGCGGGACAAGAGGAAGCCGTTCGGTCAGCTGATGGCTGAGTGGGAACAGCTGGCAGGCCGGTCAAGAGGCTCTGGTTGGGGTGCTCCAGCACAGACGACCAAGGAGACCCAGCTGGGGGGGCCAGAGCTGAGCCAAGCCACGGAGGGGCGGGCCAGCAAGAGCCCAGAGCACACTGCTCTCCCCAACCCTCACCTCAGGAGCTGCGGAGTCCTTCCCCTCTGCCCACCTGGCTGTCCCACCTTGCCCACTGGGGCGAAGGAGAGGGGTGACCATCCGACATGGCTAAGTCCAGTGATTCAACAGTGCAGAGGAGATGCCGGGACCAGGCCGGCAGGCTCTTATCCTGAACTTCTGTTTGCCAACTGGAGGAAGTGCTCAGGTGTGTGACAAGAAAACATGGAAACCAAAACAGAACAAAAATCAAAACAAGAAAAAAAAATACCAAAGTAGAATCTAAATTCCTTAAATTCACTAAAAACTGTGAAAATTTTCGGCATATGATGTTTGAATATCAAACGCAGAGATTTCTGAAGCTTTAATGCCAATAGTTAGTGAGTCTGTTTAGATTCTCGTATCCCACTCATCTGTGAGTTGGACGCTGAGCTGTGACTGTGGCGGTCAGATGCCGACTCTTGAGGGGAATGACAGGAGGCGAGGTGGGCGCCACCTCTGTCTCCCGGCCAGTCTTGCTGCCCGAGGTGCGCCGAGTGCAGCGGGACGCCCGTTCCTGTGCATCCAATTGGTCCTCACTCTCCGCCTGGGGGCTGTACGCCAGGGGGAAGGTCCGCCGCTCCCACGGCTGGACGGACTGTGGGCAGACAAGACGCCATGGTGAGGACTGGCCCCAGGTCTGTGAGCTCTGGGGCAGGCTTGGGGACGATTCTCAGAGCGGGCACACTTGTAACAAGGGCCAGTGTTCCATGGCACCTTCAGAAGGTCAACTTCATGTACAGTCCCTTGTCCCCTTCAAACGGGATGGGGCGGGGGGGATGGTCCATAAAATGAAGGTCCATCTTGGGCAGGTACTGCCCCCCCCAATTGCCCCATCTGCCGCCTCCAATCCCACAGAAAGGTGTTGCTGCTCACCTGCTCGTCCAGCCCCAGCTCTGGTGTGGAACAGCGTGTGTCTTCGCTGGCCAGGTGTCGCAGGGTGTCCCGAGCCACGGGAGTGAGGGGGGCCGAGTGCAGCTCCGGGCTAATCGGGCTCCTGGGGGACTGCCCGTGGGAGAACTCCGACAAGGAGTGACTGCTACTGACGTCCGGGGAGGCGGGCTGGGGGGTGGAGGGGTTGGCACAGCCCAGTTGGGGTGTCGTCCGTCCATCTGATGACCGGTAAGACCTGTACCCCGAGAAGTGCAATCTAAGTACCCGGTGACAGGGAGTTTCTCCTCTATTCATTTTTGGGGTTGGGAGGTGGCATGGTGTGGCATGTGCGACAGAAGCTTCCCGACCAGCAGAGCCGAGGCAGACAGACATCAGCAGGTGTCTCCTTGGAACCACCAACCCTCGCCTCCCCCATCACTGTGCACGGGGCCAGGCACACGCTGTGGGCAGAAAGCGGGAGCCCTAACCCCTCTACTTGAGAATCCTGAGGGCCGCTCACTGTAACAGTAAAGGAGAAAGGGGAGGACAGTTCTCCCAAGTCAAGGGGGGCCACAGAGCTGGGCACACTTCACTGTCCACAGAAGGTGAGCTGGTGCGGAGGCTTCCAAAGCTCCTCCCATTGCATCACCAGACCCCCCGATTGGCCTCCAACTTCCCAGACGGCCTACTCCTGGAGCTGGGAGACCACCAGAGTTTGTCATAACTGGACATAACCACTCGGCGAGGACCCAGCCTTTGACTACTTATGCCCGCACGGGTCCCACCAAACACCAAGGAGCGTGCGCATTCTCCATCACTGCCAGTGAGGAACACGAAGAGCAAGCAGGTGAGAACCCATGGACAGAGCTTGAGCCCGCGCTCCCCGCTGACCCCCCCGCAGGCCCTGGGGACCTGCGCCTGCCACATCACCTGCTGCCCCGCCGCTGCGGTGGCACACTTGTGGTCCACAGCCACCGAGCCCTTTCCATCTCCTCACATTTGGCATGCAGAGCGGCGAAGGCTGCGTCAGACAGGTCCTCGATCTGCAAAAGAGCACCTCTGTGGACCCCCCTTTCCGCCAGGAAGTCACGTTTAAGTGGGGGTAGATCAATTCTAGAAGCAGCACATCGCCTCCCCCCTCCCCCACATACTAGGCTCTTCCTGGTAAGGACAAGAATACAACGCAGCCTGCACTCGACACCCACAGGTCTTGAAGTATCTGCAGTGTGTGTGCTCTTCTAACAGGACCGACCATGCCATTACCTCCTCGTTCTCCTCGTCAGGGCTCCCCTTCAGAGACCGAAGATCAACCTCCCGCCAGCTGCAAAACCAAGAAGGCAGAATTGTGAGAACGCAGGCAGTCAGGCCAGAAAAACACATGCGCGAGGGAATGAGCACTCGCCACCTGCTCTCCCTGGGCCTTCTCAGCCCTGGGGGACTCTTTCCATCAGAGGCCTCACACTCGATACCCACAAGGGCCAGAAACAGGGAAAGCAGGCTGAGGGTGGGAGCAGAGCTGGGGGACCAACAAACTCAAGCAGAAGAACCTGTTTAAAAAGGAACAACGCTACTCAGCACCAACTGGTTGCCACCACATGGGGATGCAGACACGGTTGCCCAAATTTTTGATTTGTCAACAAAAGCTGGAAATAAAGATTCCTATGTGAAATCTTGCTTTGATGCTGACAACAAATTCAGTATCTTAAAACACATCTGTATGCATCAAACAAAACATGTCTATAGCCAGTCTGTGGCCTGTGGCCTGGTTGGCACACATATAATGAAGAAAATTACATATAGAAATAATTTCAAAAATAATAATAATAATTTCACTCTGATTCCTTCTCTTGATGACAAAAGCCAAGGCTAGGCCCCAGTGAGTAGGGGACAGGGACTCAGTGAGTAGGGGACAGGGAAATGGCAGTAACAGGGAGAACAAAGAGCAGAGCTGATTGTGCAGGGCTTCTACCTGGGGGTAAGGATTTCCTTGTACTGGAGCTTCTCTACACGGGTGGTAGCAGCAACAGACATCGGGATGACAATGTTGTTAATATCGAAGGAGCTCTCTCCCCTTCTCCTCCTTACTGGCTGCTGTAAGACAAAGGCAAGTTTAAAAGGGAGGAACAATTCTACACACATCAAATCCTAAACCTGAGATTTAAAACAGGATCACCAATAACCAGGCATCTGGGTACCTGGGGAGGGCCCAAGCAGGGATGACAGCGACTGCCTGTACTGTGCGGATGGTCTCCCACCAGCAACGTGCTTAGGAGAAACACCAGGTGGGTCCTGAGGAAGACCTTCCCAAGTCTCACCAGCCACCCTCTTATTCATGTGCTCACGTGGAGAGACCTCTCCTCAGTGTCACAGAGGTGGGTATCCTGGCACCCTGAGACAACTGCCACAGTTTAAGACTCTTCCACATACCTTTAACAACCCTCACCCCAAACCCTGTTTCCCCGCTTTTATCTCTATGACACAGATCCATGGTGGAAAACGCAATGCTTAAGCCTAGAGGTAACTCTCTGGATGAAAAAGATGAACTCTTCCATCCTGAAAGATGCCCCATGGGAGGCTGAGCTCAGTGATCTGCTAACCTTGGTTGCCATGAAAGCACTTCCTTCTTGCAGATCTGAACTCTTCAGCTAAATCTGTGCCCACCATCTGCTGAACCCTTATGTGAGTTCCCCTTTCTGGCTATTATTCTTAGGGAAAAAGCTGAGAGCCTTCTAGCTCTATCAATGGAGAGAAGTGGAGGGAAATGGATGAAGAGGCCTTGGCTGTAGAGTTCACACTCCTGGAGAAAGGAGATTCGCTTCTACAGGAAGTTAAGATCAAACTCCTGGAAAGAACACTTAGTAAGGATCCAATATTAGGGAGCAGGGGTGGGGCCTTCTGCAGCAGCTGGGAAACCGGAGGTGGAATCAAGCAGGGAGCCAAGGGGCATGGCTTCTTAGATGGAGGGGCAAGTCTGAGGGCTGCCTGTGCCCAGATAGCAAACATCCTGCCCTGAAACAGAGACTGGCAACTGAGCTGTGAGAGGCCAGAGGGGACAGTGGGATGACAAACATGCTGCCATGGCGACAGCACAGCTGCAAACACCTAAGAGGCTACATTCAAACCCAAACCACCACGTGTGGGCAGCCCAGAGGGAAGGGGTCAGTGAAGGGGGAGTCGGGGGGAAGAGGAAGCTGTTTCCCTCTATTTCCTGTTCCCGGAAGGAGATCCATGACCGATCCATCTGATCATTTCAGGACCTTCTCAGAGAATGCTGAAAGGCAGTATTTCCTGGGCCAGGATCTCAGCAGCTGTCACCTGGGATTTCAGGTTATCACAATGTCTTTTCCACCTCAGTTTCTTCTGCTATCAATGAGAACAGACTGTCCCTGCCTTCACAAATTCAGGGTAACTGGCTGACCAGAACAGCTGAAGAGACCTGCAAGCCTTGCCTGGCTGAGGTTCAGTGGACTCACCCCCATGTCTGCTGAACTCACAAACTCCACTGCAGGAAGTGTACCCAAAGGAACCTCAATAGACAGCTTTCCCTGGATTGTGGTCAAGAACAAGTGTGAAACTGCTGGCAGAAACAAGTATGTATTTTCCCTGAATCTCCTTGGGTCTGCTGTCAGTACCTTCAAGGCAGGGAGACAGGAGCGGGCTGTGGGGTTCAATAGGCTCAGCCCCCACCCCACATGTAGGTGCCCCAATTCCAGAAGACACTCACTTGGTCTAACCTAACTATGTTCTCCTGTTTAGGACCAGAGGTGGAGGGCAGGTGATGAGAATGAAAAGAGGTTCCCAAACCTGGCTGCCAGAAGGTGAGGCGCAAGATGCTATTTATTTTTTGGCAAGATGATATTTAAAAGAGAAAAAATAGATTCAGGGCCCCATCTCTTCTAACCATCAAATCAGAATATCCAGGGCATCCAAGAAGGAAACAAAAAGAAAAACAGACCCCACCGGCTCATGTGGCTTTCCGTAGCAAGCATGAGCACACGCCTCATTCCCCTCCTCCCCACTCCCTCCAGTGTCCTGTAGCCTCTCACCTTAACTACCTGGCCTATCACTCTTCCTGCTATTAAATAAATCCAGATTCTTCGAAAAAATATGGCAACAAGAGCCTCAAGGGTCAGCACAGTGGTATATACAAAATTGATGCTCACTAGATAGTAAGTAAAAATTTCAAGTGATTCAGGCCTAAGTTTACATTTTCCAAGCATGAGAAAGCAGCATGTGAAAAAACACTGAAGTTTCACCAAGTCGTGGATCTGAGAGAAGACTTCCATTAGAATTAGTCTCTGTAAAATCCTTTGTTTTTCTGAGACCCCTGCTAATGGATACCTGGGCTTACCACAGAGACTACACCACTATGGAGCTAAAACCTGTGGGTGTGGGAGGGGACGAAGCAGGGAGGAACAAGGTCATCTGGGAAAGACTGTCCGATTTTTAAGAGCAGAGACAGAACGACATGAATTCCCACCTGATTGCAGAGCCTACTGAGCACATTTTGTGGGCTTTGAAGTTTCTTGATGTAAGCTCTGAAGGGGCATCAGAGCCCCTGCCTAAGTCACCTTTGCTGTGCCCCAACCCAGGTTCACTCTGTGCTGCATGACCCAAGAGAGCTGGCTCTGTGGCCAGACCGCCTGGGTTGGAATCCCAACTGTAACCCTGACAAGTCGCCTCACCTTATGCTATGTACTTAACCCTGGAAAGCCTCAGTTTTCCTGCCAACAAAATGGGAATCTTCTACACCACCTGCACCTTGAAGGGTGTTACAGGTTGAATGTGCTAACACATATGTACCTAGCATGGACACAGTAAACATTTACAGCAGCAGCATTCTATTATTACTACCTCCATTATTATTAGGATGATGACCCTTTTGGTGGGCACAAAGCAGCTACAGGTATATGTGTTCAAGGAGGCACATTCTGAGGAATGAAAACATCACAGAGTATTAACATGACTGTGTGTCTGGAATGGCCGTGCAAACTGCTTTTGGGGTGAAGAGTGGTACTACAAAAGCTGATCAGGAGTCAGAGCGCCTGCCACTTTGAAGGCACATGTCAGTCCTGCCAGTGTGGCCTGCTGGATCTGTAATTCTGCTCTGCACACCTAAAAAACAGGCTCCACATCAACCTTCCCTTCTAAGCACCCAGTGTTTATTCCCAACACTCCAGCTCCACTCCCCAGGAGATTAAAAACAAGGAAATCAAACGTCTTTAAAGGCCCACAGACACCTCTTTTGCATCCCTCCTCTCATGTTTACTTCTCAGGCCAACAGAATTAAGAGTCATGGTACTGTGGAGTTCTGTGCGAAACTTAGTCCCATGTATCTTGAACAGTCACAGATCACCCAAGAGTTTGCCTCTGCCTCAAGCTTTCTATGGCTGGCTCAGCTCAGATCCATTTTTACCAAGAATGACTCAAGGAAAATAACATAATGGAGGATTAAAGAGCACCACTTTGACTTAAAAAAGACACACAAGTCAGGATGAGCTAAGTCCCTGTAACTGCCCTGGCCCTCACGACCCTCCTTCCACACTGTCCTCCAAATCCACTGGAGGGAGCTGTCACTGCAGAGGGGCTGTCTGGCCCACTCCATGCGGGTACTTACAGTCGTGCTGGCTGTGACCTGTGGGCTAGAGCTGGTGGGTGCAGAGGTGTCTGAGGAGGCGGAGAGCTGTCGCACCAAGGGACTGTGTGGTGAGTGGTGGGTGGCCGCCAAGTAGCTCGAACTGCTCATGTCCGTGTGATGTTTCAATACTGCAGAGGTCAACAGAAAAGAGGAATACATGGCTACCTCAACCTGCTCTATTTCCAGCACAAGTGAGGAAGGCCAGCAATACTCAGTAAAGGCAAAAATGCTTTCTAAGCCTAGAGGATAAAAAGATGAAGCAAACTGGCTGATGGGAGGCAGGGTGTGGAGCAGAGGTTGCTGTAGCAGTTAAGAGTGACCTACACTTAGAAGCGGTCGGACCCCTCTACTCTGCCTTCCTAGCAAGTGAAGGACACAGCTAGGGGCAGTTACAGGAAGCCCAGCTGCCCCAGAAAGCCCTGCGCAGGTGCAGATGCAGGCGGAGGTGCCGGGCCTGGCCCTACCTTCACTTCTCTCAGATGCATGGTCTCGCAATCTCATTTTGCTGTGGTTTGGGTCATGCACGGGTGGCGGCGGACTGAGCAAGCGCTCTGCTTTTGGCGCTGTCACTCGTTCCACCATAGGCACGGCCCCCACATCGTCTAAGTGCTGCCTGTGGGTCCTGTCAGGCCGGGTTTGGTGATGGGACAGCTCTGAAGAGGGGAACAGAAAAAGAGCTGTGAAATATCTTCTCTCAACCTTTTCTTATTTGAGTTCCCTCTAGGTCAATGACAGACACCCAGGGCAGCAGGACAGTCCTCTGGGAGTCCACCGGGCTCTCAACTGGAGAAAAATGTGACACCAGACTATAAAAGACAGCCGGCCCACAGATGCACCCAATGCCATGCCCCACTTGGCTGGTCACTGAGCCCCAGAACACCTGATGTCTGGAAGAGCTTTCATAGTCCATCCCAGAGCATCCAAGATGAGCAGAAAAAGAAGACTGTGGGCTGAACTTGCATCTGTCAACTGTCTCTCCCAACCCCATCAGACTGCCATGGCCATACCAGTAACCTGAGAACATAAGAGGAATAGAAAAATAACTGGAGGACTCCATGGACCCCTGAAACTTACTGGCTGTTGTTAGGAAGGAGTTGACCAACTTGTGCCTGTCTTTACGAGCTGGATCTGGCAGACTGCCTGGTATGGGTGCTCTGTGCTTAAGTGAAAACTTTTTTGGAGGTTTGATTTTGTCAAAAGGCTTGTTCTGCCACTGAGATTTCAGCATGCTCTGAAAGTGCAGGCTTGTGGGGACATCTGCAAGAAACACAAAACATCACCATCAGTCCAGACCCCTGGGCTCCGGCTCTCCAGGGAGCGAGACCCACCTCACACCCTTCTCTTATGTGCCCAGTGGTAGGATGACTGCGAGGAGCAAGCACTGTCAGGGGAAAGATCTGTTTATTGGAACATCACTGAAGGTCACTCTTCTACTCACAGGGAAGTCATTGCTGCCTTTTATTTTTCAAGTTCCAAACAAAACCAAAATCTATGATGGTCTTTTCTTTGTTCCTGTGTTAAGCTAAATCTGTTAAACTCCATTGGTTTGAAAGAACATCCTGTTCTTATTCTTCTAGAAACTGAAACATTTCAAGATATTTCTTTCTTTCAACATAAAGTTAATCAGGATTTATATTCCTTCAACAACTATTTATTGTCTGCTACTTTATCAGGCACTGGACTGAGCACTGCATCTTTCCCTAATAAGAACTAGATCATTTCTCCCTCCTTCCTCCAGACACCCACCACCTCCCTATCTGGGGATTATCTAGGTTTTTAAGTGAATGAATTGATTAATATTGAATATTACAAATTAAATCTTTTAGACTTAATTATAACTTCTACCTTTCTGGGGGGGGGTTCACTACTCTTTCTTGTATCTTTCTGTTTTGTTAGTTTCCTTTTTTTATTTTCCTAAGAATGCGGACTTGAGTTTGAATAATTTCTTTAGAAAGAGCATTTCAAGATTAAAACCAGTTTTCTCTCAGATCCTTAAAGCTATTACTACAGTATCACCAATAAGATAGAATTTGACTCAATCATTTGTAGGTGCTCTGCTTCTTCTTTTAAACTTTTGGTGGGGGGGGGAGCTTGTTGTGCTATTATATTGACTCAGCCAATTTGGGGTGAACTCTAATACCAAATCTTTCAATCTGTGAACATGGTATTTCTCTCCATTTATTTAGAATTTCTTTTATTTCCTCTCATCAGCATTGGGTGGTTTTCATTGTACACTTCTTATACACATTTTGTTAAACTGATTGAGTACTTCATATTTTTATGACTTACAAATGATAATGTCATCATTATCACTTTTTAAAAGTTCTGTTTTTAATTGCTTACTGCTAGTATGTAGGAATATAGTAATTTTTAATATAGTGGCCTGTATCCTGTGATCTTTTCAAATCTATTACTAAGTTTTGTTAGCTGTTGTGGAATCCTTAGAATTTTCTACACACAGAAATGCATCATTTACAAAAAGCTGCTTTACTTTCTTTCCAATTTGTATGCCTTTATTTCTACATCTTGTCCTATTACTCTGGCTAGAACCTCTAGTGGCAATCTGAACTTTACAATTTTCCTTTTCTAGTTTCATTCTGAAACTTCACCACCAGGGATATAGGTAGGTCTTTCTTCAGGGTTCTGAAAAACTTCTCATGGTCCTTTTACATCTGAAGATCAGCACATCTCACTTTAGCTCTCAGTTCCTCCAGGGAATCAATCATTAACCACCTGAGACACACTCAAAAGTCCCAGTCCCTGAGGCCATACTCAATACTGTAGCACAGAATGAAACATCACTGCATTATGGAAAAAAGGTTAAAATCTAACCTAGCTATATTTCAGAACAAGTCCAGATCTATCACCCAAATGCCCAGGTCCCATCCCTGTTTTTCTGTCCTTTTTCAGTGTGGGCAAAGAACCGTCCCCTTACCGGCTGCTACCTGACAAGAGTTTACTAAAAGCACATGCTTTGGGCTCCTTTTTTCTAGTTTTATTTCTCTATAGTTATCTTGCTTTCCATCTTTCAAAAATCACTGCAACCTATGGCATGCCTTCTTTTTCCAGAATTACTTAATATTTATTATATTTAAGGTACTTAGGACTTCCCTGGTGTCTCAGACGGTAAAGCGTCTACCCATAATGCGGGAGAGGCGAGTTCGTTCCCTGGGTCGGGAAGACGCTCTGGAGAAGGAAATGGCAATCCACTCCAGTACTCTTGCCTGGAAAATCCCATGGATGTAGGAGCATGGTAGGCTATAGTCCATGGGGTCACGAAGAGTCAGACGCGACTGAGCGACTTCACTTCAAACATTAATGGGGTTCTGGCTCCCAGGGAGAGTACAGGATGTGCTTGATCTGAACTAGGAGTGGGTGGCAAAGAAAAGGGGGATGAGTGAACATTTAAAAAACCCATTATAAAATTAAAAAAATAAAAAACCTATTATATGGTGGCTGGTGCTGTGTATTACTTCACCTTCATAACAATTCCATGATGCATTACTATGCTCCTTTTAATGATAGAAAACAGATTTAGAAAGGTGAATTAAGTGTCAAGGTTACACAGTTTAGTAACTAACACAGTGTACAAAGCTCAGTTGGGTCTGACTCTTTGAGACCCCATGGACTTCAGCCTGTCAGGTTCCTCTCAGCCCATGGGATTTTCCAGGCAAGAATACTGGACTGGGTTGCCATTTCTTCCTTCAGGGGTTAGAAAGAACAAGCAACATTCAAACTCAAGTCTGTAAAACTCTAAAACTCATACTCTTAGCCACTACACCATGAAATTATTCTTTGGCCCAAAGAATTGATGCTTAAGTGTGTTAGCTACTCAGTCGTGTGCAACTCTTTGTGACCCCATGGACTGCAGCCCACTAGGCTCCTCTGGCCATGGCATTCTCCAGGGGACCTTCCCAACCCAGGGATCAAACCTGGATCTCTTGCACTGCAGGCAAATTCTTTACCATCTGAGACACCTGGAAAACCCAGAGAATGGAGCAGTTTAATTCTGAGGTGGAATCTGAGAGTTCTCAAATTATTCATTCCCAAGGAAGTGGACAGTGTAGAATGTTTTTCAAAAGAGTTCTGCAGTGTAGCAAAACTTTAACTCTTTCCTATAGCACAGACTATGTATTTCATGACACTTCAAAGAATAAGACACACATCTCTTGGAACAGTGCTCTCTTGTGAAATTTTTTCCATAATTATTCTTTCTTTTACACATTTAAAAACAAATTCACACACACAAAAAAAAGATACACTATGGTTGTGATAAAAAATAAATAAATAAATAAATAAAAGGAAATTAAAAAAAATTCTTAAAAAAAAATAAAAAAAAAAAAAACAAATTCACCTATCATAACCCTTAAATGATCAACCAGCTTTCAGTCAAGCTAAGGATATCAGAGCTCACTGTACTCCTAGCCCTTAGAGCCCACCCAAGCCCCTCAATAAAATGGCTTGATTATCTCATACTCCAAAGGTCAAATGTTTAAAACAAACAAACAGAAAAATCTCCCACATAAGAATTGAGTTTAGAGGTATTAATTAAATTTAGGGGAATTTTAATTCATTAAAAATTCTTTGCTTAGAGTGGTTGAGGAAAAGGGTGTATTGGAAATAAAGCACTGTCTATAGAAATTCTGAAAGCTGGGCTGAGTTCAAAGGTATAAAGAAGGTTCAAGAAGTGGGGGAACACCTCTTCTATATCCCAGGACATCCCCTGTGTCAGCAGGAGAGTTACTCCCACTTGGCATAGGCTGGTTTTTCTTATTTATTTGGTCTTTTGGGGGACTGTACCATATGGCATGTGGGACCCTCCCCAACCAGGGATTGAACCCATGCCCCCTGCATTGGGAGCATGCAGTCTTAACTACTGGACCATGAGGAAAGTCTGCATGGGCTGTTTAATGGGACTACAAAAGCATAGTGATTTTATTCCTCCCGCTCTTTTATAGTGCAAATAAGTAGCCCTGGACACAGGACCCGGTTCCATCACTGAGTAGGAAGATAGAACAAGAACAAATCACTTGGCTGGGCTTTAGCATCTTCATCTGTAAAATGAGGCAGCAAGATCTGATCAGGGCTGGAGATATCCTAGCACACATGCTCTAACTCTCTCTCACCTCTTCTGTCTGCCGCAGGCACAGGCTCATGGCAGTGCTCTCTCTGTTGTAGCCCAAGACCTCAGACCCATCTCAAATAATTAATTAATCTAATTATAAGTCAATCTCACTAAACACAAGAGAGAAAAAAGATTTATGTTATTGCTAGACTAGATGACTACTGCACCTCTCAACTCTACCATGTTAATGACTTTTCAACTAAAACTCCACTCCTAACCCTCTCCCCACCCCCATTTAAATGCTCAGAAGTAAAATTTGGCACAAGTGTAGACCATTACCTTGTGCTCTGGAGTTGGCTATTAAGCAGAACCAAGAGCAACTTCCCCTATAAAACCCACTGAATAAGCTGTTAGGGATAACAAAACTGTTTATGGGACTCGGGCTACTATACATTGCTAGAAGTTTGCTGTGTTTTAGCAGCTTTCATATAAAAGTGAAGAGAAACTAAGTTATATCCCCCAAAACCAGTGAACAAAACTGATCTCTTAGGAATTGCTAGTCTGAGTTCATGCTCTGAGTAATAACACCTGGGATCCACACAGAGATACAACTCTGAAAACAGACACAGAGGACCTGAAAGTAAGCAAAGAAAGAGTTATAAATATGGAAGAGAACAATAGTTCAGCTAGAGGACGCCACACATTTCACACCTGCATAGGCAATGGGCATTAAAGTGGTATTAACCAGACAGGAGGGTACAGATCCTTAACCAGGTCAATGACAAGAAACATCACCTTAGGTTACTATTTCCTCAAACAAAAAGAAAACTTTAGCTTCAGGCCCGCCAGAATCTGACATTCCATGATCCACCATTTCTCAAGCACACTTTCTCATGGTGTTCAGTCATGCTCACTTCCTCCTGCTGGTAAGTTGCAGTAGCCTCATGGATACAGCTAGTTGTCTTGGCAAGCTCTCTCAAGAGAGCAGAGCTCTTCAAGGCCAGCAGGTGGTGCTCTTATTAAGCACAAACCTAAGACAACATGCTTTACCCCAAGGTTATACATCCTCTATTTCAAGCTAAGGTTTAGCTGGCTTGATTAAATGAGGTAATAAGGAAACAAGCTCCTCTTTCTGGGATACTAAAGGGGTGAGTGAGTGAAGTCGCTCAGTCGTGCCCGACTCTTTGCAACCCCATGGACTGTAGCCCACCAGGCTCCGCCGTCCATAGGATTTTCTAGGCAAGAGTACTGGAGTGGGTTGCCATTTCCTTCTCCAGGGGACCTTCCCAACCCAGGGATCTAACCCAGGTCTCCAACATGGCAGGCAGACACTTTACCTCTCAGCCACCAGGGTGGTAACTAAAAGGGTACCACACCCTAATGTCTCCACCTTTCAGCCAGGGAGCAGTTCCTAAAATGAATGGGAGTGGCTAAGGTGTGGTAAGATGGGAGATGAACTCTAGGATTAAGAGCTGCAACTGGTTCCCACCCCAACAAAGTACTCAGACTGGCTAGGAAACGTCAGTAAAACTACAGAAAAATGAAAAGTTGCAAGTCCTGCCATCTTTAAATGTACTCTAGAGAAGAACGGGGTGGCCCAGAGGTCAGGTTTGACCCACACAGTATGCTGGCTGCTAGTCTTCACTATTACTTACTATTCTACACAAAGAGAGATGGGGAATATCAATACTTCAGGAAGCACTATTCACATCTTTGTGGCCCTGGCAATCTTCCAGTTTACAAATGTGGCATTCTGTATTCTGAGTGTGGCAGTGGTCTGAATCAAGTAAAAAATCCCAATAGCCACAATATTAGACACAATAATTAGGTCCCTGGGTTAAGCCACAGAACGTCTACTGTATTCATAGGCAGATATGTTAATGCTCGACTTGAGAAAGTATAACATATACTATTCTCCTTTACTGTCTCATAAAGAGAATTTAATGACCGTCTCTCTTGTCCAAACCCCAAAGTCATAATTAGGATGTGTGTGTGTTTGTGTGTGACTGACAGAAGGGAGAGAGTGGGAAAAGGGTGGAGGTGGCTCGGAGAGAAGACCAAGACAGACAGGAAAATAAAGACCACAGGGACTATAGAATGATGGAGCAGGAGATGTCAGGCAGATGTCTTGGGCATATTTAGGTGATGGGAGAGAGAATTCATAACTATACAAGGTAATACTGTTGACAAAGCAATGACCAACATACTTATCAGCTGATAATGATTCAACAGGCAAAAGATCTTATCAGAATCTTAATGTAACTATACAAGCTTCAGACTTCTTTATTCAAATACGAGACCATGCAGTTCAACACTGTAATCTTAAGAGAATAACTCAACAAATGTTCTGGAGTTGTCTTGGTGTTTCTGCCTGAAGCTGCAGTCTGGAAATGGGCAGAAATCTGACTTCTCTTAATAACCTGGCAGGGGAGAAGCATGAATTATAGTGAAAAGAAGGATGGGAATCAGATTACTTGGGTTTAAATTTTTGAGCCTGCTACATCAGCTATGGAGCCTGAGATAGACCACAACCTCTCTAAGCCTATTCCTTGATATGTAAAACTGAAGTAACTTTACAAGACTACTGAGAAAACCAAACGAGACAAGAATAAGAGAAGTGCATGTAAACTATAAATGCTATACAAATATTATCTTAAGTTACATGAGCCATAATCCAAATGGCAAGAGAGGGCAAAAGTCAATGACTCTGGAATCTGAAGCACAGAGGAAAATGTTTATGTTCTAAATGTTCAAATGGTGAGGAGTTCATGAGCAAAAATGTTAAAAACTACTCTATAGACTACAGAAGCCATATTTGGATTGGTCTCATTGGTTTGCAAATAATCTCCCCATCTGGCCCCAACCTCCAGAATACTTAAGTTCTCTGAGGATAAGGGACTATGTTTCTCTCGCTACTCTGTCCTTCATAGCACCTTACAGATAGTCTGTACACGTTTTTGAAAGGAGGGTAACCATAATTGGGGTTCATTATGTTCTAAAGTGTATTTTACTGCTCCATCACTCCTGATCTAAACCCTTGCCTAGTTTACTGTTCATGTTTCACATTTTCTAAATATTTCCACTCTTACGAGAAGTCACACAGCAGCAAGACTATTATACCATGTCCTTTCTTACAGTTGGAGAGAGTCTTAATAATAAGGCTTAGGGAAGCTAACAGATTTAGATGACCAAGAAAGAATCCAATCATTTGAAGAACAGATAAGAAATCTGAGGGGATTATGGTCATCTAATGTTTGATCAACTGTCAATTAGAAGAGGGGATTTACTAGGATAGTTTATCAGCAATGACTGCTTTGATAAATAAACTTTTATTTAAACAGTCACACTCCCCTCCTTATGCATAGTCTACATACTGGTTCTGTGCTACAATGGCAGAGCTGCCTAGTTCCAACAGACTAAACCTAGACAGTATGACCCATAAAGCCCAAATTATGTGTCCCTTTAAGAAAAAGATAATATACCACTCATGCTAAAAACCTGATTTTCTTCGCAGACCACTAAGTAAATTTTACATCCAACATAATTCTCATTCCCCAGACCCCAATTATGGTTACCCTCCTTTCAAAAACGTGTACAGACTATCTGTAAGGTGCTATGAAGGACAGAGTAGCGAGAGAAACATAGTCCCTTATCCTCAGAGAACTTAAGTATTCTGGAGGTTGGGGCCAGATGGGGAGATTATTTGCAAACCAATGAGACCAATCCAAATTATGGCTTCTGTAGTCTATAGAGTAGTTTTTAACATTTTTGCTCATGAACTCCTCACCATTTGAAATGTAATTTTTCTTTATTTAGATGTTTTTTCTGGCCACACCGAGAGGCTTGTGGGATCTCAGTTCCCTGACCAGGGACTGAACCTAGGCCCTTGGCAGTAAAAGAGCAGAGTCCCAACCACTGGACTGCCAGGGAATTCCAAAATGTAGTTTTTAGAAAAATTGTAAACTCAGGACAATTATAGGCTTCCCTGGTGGCTCAGTGGTAAAGAACCTGCAGAAGACACAGGTTCAATCCCTGGTCTGCGAAGATCCCACATGCCACAGAGCAATGAAGCCCCCCATGTGCCACAACTATTGAGCCTGTGCTCTAGAGCCCAGGAGCCTAACTACTGAAGCCCACACGACACAACCACTGAAGCCCAAACTGCTCTGGAGCCTGTGATCCGCAACAAGAGAAGCCACTGCAATGAGAAGCCCATACACCACAATGAAGACTAACACCTGCTCATAGCAACTAGGGAAAAGCCAATGCATGCAGCAACAAAGACCCAGTGCAGACAACATATAAATGAATTATATATTAAAAAAAATTATATATAAAAAAAGAAACTAAAATACATGTTAAAAATACTTTATACCAACACCCTGGCATGTTAAAATCTATTTCTTCAATCAGACTTCAGTCACAGTAAAATCTAATTTCAGTTATCAATTATTTTTAACATTTAAATACTGTATAGTTGATGTGCAATATGTTAGTTTCACATGTAAGTTATTAATTCTAAATATAAGTTATTATTCTAAAGTAACAGAAAAGGTAGAGGATCTTGCCATACATTATATATAAAAAAAATACTGTACCTCAATCTTCATTATTTATTCAAATTTCCTTTTACTTAACTCCCACAGGATTCTTCTTCAGGAGCCATGAACTCTGAGATGGTTCCTTTGGTGTCCCTATTGCCCAAGGTTTTTATACTCTGGGGGATGGGCAAGACCCACAGCAAAACTCAATATGGATAAGAGGAGTGACTTTCTTTTGTGAGGTGGGAGAAAAGCAATTATGAAAAGGGAGGTGGAAGAGAAAATCGGCAGACATAGAGGCTCATCAGGTAGTCAACTTAAAAAACAAAAAACAAAAAACCCCCACAAAACCCAGCACATGCGAACTCTGTGCACATGCCTGTGCACACCTGAGAAAGCAGTCACATAACCTGCTTTGTGCACCCCAGGATGAAGACATGCTTCCCACACAGTGCTGCCCATGCTGTTTTACATTGTAACACAGGCAACTGTCTCACCCTCACCACCTGAAGCATTAGGGCGAAATCTCTTAGCAAGCTGTAATATTTGAGTGCCACATTTTGGTCTAGGGGATCTGTTGTGCACGATGTGCAAAATCCTAAGAAAAGATGCTGTTGACAGTAATACCTGGACAGTATCTGGACTGTATTAGAATCTTGGCCAACTGTCCTTCACTTTGAACCCTTTAAGTCTCACTCATTAGACTTCATGGAGCCTTTCTTACCGTCTGGAAATGCTAGAACCGGGTGAACACAGGAGTCCAACTGGGAAAGGCGTTCCAACAGAGGGGCTTCGTAGTGGATTTCTGGAGGCATGGTGCTGGCATTGCCTGAGCCGCACAGCGCGCAGGAAGGGTTCACATCACAGCCAGAACGCGCTGTGCTGTTCCGGTGAACCTGGGAAAAGCCAGATAACACTCGATTCAGGGTCTGATAAAAACTCAGCTCCCCATTCAGTATTCCAAAGATTCAAAATTCCCTCTCTCTAGATATATATATGACACAGTTAACAAAAAGTTTGATCAGTTTGTTAAAAGATTTCCATTTCTCAAACACACTGAACTTCAAAGTAATTAAGTAAATCCATTTCTTCTCCAATGAAGAGATCTAATTATGTGAAGCCCATTAAGTGCTTGAGAACACTTTACAATACCTGTTTCTACCACCATGATCCTTTTCCACCATCTGCTACAGTGACTAGCTGGCTCCAGATTTCTAGGTAGACATGACTTGCCCTCTTCAGCAACTTCATCAACCAAAGAGCCTTACTAATGAATAACCAACCACACCTTTCCTGTTCTTTTTGTATCTCCAAAAAAAGAATTCCAGAAGGTCTGAAACAACATGGCAAGTTTCTCTGGACTACACTCATTAGCTGCTCTTTAACCTAGCCTAAAATCTACTGTTATAAAGCTCATATTTAAGTAATGAAAATGAACTTGGTATGGTTAGTGTTCATACCCATAGTCTTTGTGTCAATTAGATTAACTCCAAGGGGATAAAAATCATTTTCATTAAACTTCTCTTGTATACATATGGGCACAATAAGAAAACCTCCCTAGTTAAGTCCACAGTGAAAATAATATAAGTCTTCAAATGATCTAACTGTTTTGTGTTTAAATGATAGAAGTTTTATAATTTTATGCTTTAAACTTCAGGTTATGCTGAATGCAGGATCCGTAGGTTCTAGTGTCAGGAGTTGGCATTTGCCAAATCGTAACCATGAGAAGTCACACAGGCAGCATGCAGTCCTAGAAGAAATGACTTGCCTGTGGAATGACACTATGACATGGGACGCTAGGAGCAAGGAAGTGTCAGAATAAAGACAAAGGGTAGCATCGAAACTCCGTAACGACTGCGAGAACTACATCTGGTTTCAGCACACACATCTCTTGAAAGCTGTTTGCCTTCACAGACATGCACAGAAGAAAGATAAACATGAGAACAATTCGGTCTTTATCAACCTTCCTCAACTGCCTCCTCCATGCAGTGACATAGATGGGTGGTATTCAAATAAGGCCCTGTGAAGGTCAGACTGGATAACTTACACTACAGTAAAAGAATTCTAGTAAGCAACAACTGTTGTCTCTGAAAGGAAATCACACCAACAAAACATGCACTTCTGGTAGACAACATGAACTGGTACTGTTTTGGAAAAAATACCTCTTGCAACCTATTTAAACCAGGGCTGGATTTCTGGGGGGGATAACATTTTGAGGTAGAGAAAGAGGGACCTACATTATCAGGAACAAAAACCAGAGATCACCAGTAGATGAACGGGAGAATTTAGGTAATTAGAATCCATAAACGGCACCAAAACTTGAAATATTGACTAGATTAGAAAAATATATAAAAATCAAAACAAGAAATCTTAAAAGGGAGGTATATTTTCTCCTCATGAAGTAAACCATTACATGAACTAGCTCTCCAAGTGGGCAATGAACAACACCCCATTTTTTTATGGCTAGAGTGCATACCTCAAGTCATTAAGAGACTGGATGTAAAGTAAAAAAAATACGGCAAGAAAAACAAACTAAGAATAAAATTAAAGTAAAAGCTGAAATTACCAAAGGAAAAAATACATAACAGAAACAGCAAATTAAAGAACTGCTCAAACCCACCTCAAGAAAGGGGTAGACAGGATAGAGCAATTAATTACATAAACAATAAGACTGGCTGCAGTTTATGGGGTCGCAAAGAGTTGGACACGACTGAGCGACTGAACTGAACTGAATGAAGAGAAAAAGGGAAAGATGCAAACATATAAGAACTTAAAAAAAGCAATAGCTAAGTGATAAAACCACTTAACCACTGGATCAGCCAGGAAGTCCGCTAGTATTATTAAGAGAAAATTTGGGGAATTTTTTGAAGGATAGCTTAGGCAACTTTAAATACGCACACAGAGAAAATAAGATGTCAAATTATACACATGAATTTTATTTTTAAAAAACCCACAAAAAAGAAAAACAACCTACCATGAGCAAGTGTGATTTACTCCTGGATATCAAAACTACTTGACATTAGTTTATCAATTAACACAATTTCATGCTGGCCATTCAACATTTCTACTTCGATGTCTTAAGAGGCAACCAAAGTTAAGTGACTTCAAAACCGTGCTCCTAACTCTTCTCTACTTTCAGTAGCTCAGTCTTAAAACCCCTGGACTCATCCTAAACTCCATTTCCTCCTCATACCCCAAAACCAGTCATGAAATCCTGTCACCTCTGCCTTCTAAAAGTGTCCAAAATCTGACCACTTTATACACCCTCAACTGAAGTTCTCATTTGGGTTTCTTAAATAGTCTCCTAAGAGGTGTTCCTGCTTGCCCATTCCCTTCAACTATTGTGTAATCTTGTTTCACAACCTTAATCAAATCATAATGCAGTTCTCTGCTCAAAACCTTCTGATGGCTCCTCATCTCACAAAGAATAAAAGCCAAAGTTCTTGCAATGGCACACACAAAATGGTACCTACACCATCTGTTACTTCTGTTGCTTCTCTGACTTCATTTCCCTTTCCTGCTTTTCTCCTAGCTCATGCCACCAGTTCCTCTGACTTCCCTGCTACTTCCCCAAAATGGCAGGCAAATTTCCGGATCACAGACCTTTACACTTGGCCCTTCTATTAGCTCCAAGGTTATTCCCTCACCTCACGTCTTTTTCTCAAATGTCATCCTCTTAAAAAAACAACTTTTATTTAGAAACATACAAGTGAGAAAAGAGTCTCTATTCTTGATTGTGACAAAAAAACACATTCTGGAATAAGTTTAACTGACATTTCAGGCACAAAGCTTAAAGTCATTAATTTTTAATATGCTACAAATTAATCTATAATCAAATTCAATAGGCTTTTGGTACAGAAGGGAGAAGAGGCAAATGGAATTTAAACCAAGTACAAACCAGAAAAATAAATGCTAAGGGCGAAAGTTCCCAGAAAATTTCTGATAAGCAAAGGCAGAAGGGAGTGACTTGCTGACCACATGTTAAAAGTATGAATCAGGGACATCAAAAGGAGGGTGGGGGAAGAAGCTGGATTCACATAAAAATAAATCCCAAAGGCATTAAAAAGATTTAAATTATGTTTATTAAATTAATTATTAAATTGTTTTAAATTATTTATTAAATTATTATGTTTAAACTGTAAAAGAAAAACCATGGGGCAACATCCAGTAGTAAAAAGTGTGAGCAATGGGGCCAGGGTGTTTGAGCCCTAACTGCTACTGAGCTGTGTGAACTGACACAAGTTCCCTAAGGCTTCATTCGTAACAACAGCTGCTTATCTGACAAGGCTGCTTTGAAGATAAAAACCATTTAGAATAGTGTCTGGTCTCACTGTTACTTGTATAGTCATACAAAAGACACTATTTTCATTTATAGTTGAAGAAGGAAAAAAAGGACATAAACCATAAAGATCACTGATATTAAAGATCACTGATATTAACTCCTAGCTTTCATGTTACTTGTGTGACCCCTCAAATTTATTCATCTGTTAATAAAGGATCAATAATGCCAATTTCATGGGACTGTGAGAAATATGATTTTGCAAGCTGTTAAAATACTACACAAGTGCTAGCTAAATTAATGTACATCAAAGTTCCTCACAAAAGCACTGTGGACACTTAAGAGCCTGATGATTTGTTGTTGTGAGGAGCCGTCCTGCCCACTGAAGGCGAGCCCCAGCTTCCCTGGCCTCTACTCACAGTGCAAGTGATGCCCTCCCCCTCCTCCGGACAAACCAGAACCCACCACAAGGTCAAACGTCTCCTAGGGCGGGCGGGGCAAGATCATTGAGAACCAGGTGGCTCAAGTTATGATTATCATTCTTAGTAAAATTCAAAGCACAGGCATCCATTAAATATTAATAGTGAGAAAGAAGAAATGCCTCAAGGCTACATCAATCAAAGTGAAAGGACTCAAGAGCAAGAGTGAAGAGGCTTCCATGAAACAAAATGGTAACTAGAACATAGAAAATTATTTTAATGGCTTGAATAACTCAAATATGTTTAAAGTGATGACTTCATAATCATACACACCACCCCCTCCACAAAGACTTTATTCACTGTCCTTGGAAGACGGTAGGAAATTTAAAAAAAAATCAACTTATTACTTGAAAATCGGTAGATAAAAGGATATCAACACGAATCATGCTCCCCCTCACCCCCCGCCCCACAGACTGTACTTAAGGGTAAACCAATAATAGAAAAGGGCATTTTTCTCTTTAAAGACATAGTCTAGCTAATAAACTAAGAATAAATGGTATGAGTAGAACATAACTTCAATTCCTGATGCAACAAGGGGGTCCAGGCAATGGCCACTACTGACTAATAACACGAGAGAGACAAGATATTACATGTCTTCTCATGCGAGTGCCCTTACCAAAACAAAAACCTAGATTTAAGTTTCTGTATGCAGACTTGAATGAATTAAAAGTAAGAGATTAAGGAATATACAGAGGGATGGATATAATGTTAAAATGTGGTCAATGCTAACAGTAGACTCTAGGAGATACAGCTGCTCACTGCAAAATTTACACATGATACTATGTTTCGTTAATATCATAATGAAATTTTGGAAAAGAAAACAACGACCCTGCAGAATTTCTTCTGGTCATGATGGATTAAGAATGATCATGCTTATCTTTTAGCCATAAACTAGAAAACCAGACAACACACAGCTTAAGACAGAAACAAAGGAGGTGGCCTGTGACTGTTCCGGCTTTCTACCTGGAGGCACAGAACAGACCTGCTCAGTAGGTGAGGGGTTCCAAGCAGAGCGTGATGGCTCCACTGAGTTGAGGAAACAAACTTTCAGAGACTGAAGTGCAGAGACTCAGGTGACGGATAACCATGAGGCAGAATTCTTCAGAAGAGGAAGCCATACAGAAAAAGAGCTCCAGAA